TTTACTATTAGCATGCATGATGTGGATAAAAGATCCATCAAAGGAAACAGAAGAGAAAGGAGGACAGCCAGGAAAGAACAGCCATCACAGAAATGTAGAGAGAAGAGTGTCAAGGAGAAAAGGGTTATCAACTCAGTCAAATGCTGCATAGAGGTCAAGAACAATGAAGACCGAGAAAAGGTCACTAGATTTGGCAACATTATACATTATACATGTATAATCTCATTTGATCATCACAACAACCCTGGGAAGTAGGTACTGCTATTCTCCTCATTTTATAGACAGGAAACGAAGGCTAAGAAAGGACAACTGATTTGCCTGAGGTCATACAGTAAGTAAATATCTGAGGCAAGAATCAAATTCAGGTTTACCTAACTCACTTTCAATGCTGTATCCACTGTGCCTTCTAGCTTCCTCTCTAATATAAAAACAATTCTTCAAATTCCCTGCATTAAAAATACCATAATAGAAATAAGCCTAGAATAACTCATTACTAAGATGCCAAAAGCCCCAAACAATTGAACTTCTAAGACCACTGACATAGACATGCACACGAGAAAAAGGAAGGGCTCATAAGATTTCATTGAGGGCATGGCAGTCACTGACCTTGTGACAAATGTGCCTAAAGTTTAAGCAACTTGCAACACAACTCAATGAATAAGCCTCTTCCCAAGGTTACAGACAAAACTGGGGGGACACAAACACACTTGCATATAAAAAACAACCCAGGTAACCAGTCTCTTAGGGCTGTACTAATCTGCCCTACTGAGGTCTCACTAGTACTTCTTGCTCTCTCTCCTCCGTTACCAACACAGTACAGTCAATAGCTTTGGTGTAGCCCAGACTGCCAGATTCCACCTGGTTTTATATGCTCTTACAGGAGACCTCAGAGTAGGAAAGAGGATAATGCCATCATCAGAGGTATTGACAGTAGCTGTTTCCTTCAAGCTCTCACAGATCAAATGCTCTTCCTCCATGATATTGTGAATTTCATTCATTAAATATGTGTTGCAAACACAAGCAATAAGATTAGGTTAAATCTATTTCTAAAATGAACTGATTTAGATTGCCTATAACTCAATGACTTTTATTATTATATTACATATACATTATTACATGCTTATTTTAGATGAAATTAGCTAATAGTCTGTATAAATTTGTCTATGGACATAAGGAGCCATTGGAAAACAATAATGGGAAGCAATGCTCAATCTGTCCAATCAGAGAAAGCAAGGACTAGAAACTACATAACCTTTACTGGGATGGTTCCTCTCAAGGGAAAATTATACATGTGGACAAAATAACGAAGAAGTTTATATTGTGAATATTGTTTGTCTTTTCTTAAGCATCTTATGATGTTCAAACCACAAACATAGGTCCATACATCATCTTTCATGAATAATAAGGGCTATAATGAAGCAAAACTCCAAGGTAACTTCAAATGTGTTGCTTGCATTACTATGTACATCTGCTTTGGATATAATTGCAGATGCTAGAATATGTTCATACATGTACCAATTATTATTGCATGCTTTCTTTTTTTAATCTTAGCTTGTCATGTTTATTTGCTTACTTACTAGTGTTATACATGGATTATATAGTCAACTTAAATCCAATTCATTCACAAGTTAAGACATCATCCTTGTGAACGAAGGACAAACAACAAATGACAATAGCTTTAGATGTTCTTAGTTATACAACTTTTGTTGCCTATGTGTATCTGTTTATACATTAATGTTAAGACATGCATTTGACACTGGATATTTGTTGCACACCAATGATTTCATCAGTGTAGGAAATGCCCTCTCCCAATGGAGAGCAGCGCTTGCTCTGTAGCACACAGATTCAGTTGCGCCTGGTTAAGTAACTTGCGCAAGTTTACTTAACCAGTAGGTGTCAGTTCAGAATGACACCCATGTTGAGAAACTGGGTGACTACAAGGATAGTGATACCTTCAACAGTGTAGTAGGGAAATTAGGAAGACAGAAGGACTTGGGGTGAAAGATAATGAATTCAGTTTTGTACAAGTTAAACTCAAGATGTCTACAGTACAATTTACACATAAAGGGTGATAGCATAAGCAAATTAGGAGAGC